TGGCTATGTCGCTGGACTCCCATGTAGTCGACCGTGGTTCGAGTCCTGGACCCGGTGACTTAAACTCACGCCGGATGCGTGTGCATGCATGCCCAAGATCCCGAGAGGAGAATGGAGGAGAAGGGATTGCGGCATGGCCATCCCCCCTGGGAGTGATTTCTCGCTTTCTGTCTCTTCTCTGTCTGTCTCTGTCTGGCGAGCGCACGCGCCCTATAGCAAAAAAATACTCTCCAAAAAAAAGAAAAAAAAATCAGTGGATCTTTTAAATTACTCTGGCAAAAGATACAGAATCTCTAAAGGGTGCTGTTAATAGGTGGAAGATTATCCATTTATCAAAAATCTAAGGTTCTTTGGATTGTACAGTCAAAAGTCAGTCTAAGGAGGCGAAAGGAAGTTTCAGAAAAAGTTTGCTTACAAGAGAATGAAAAAACAAAATTTAATATTCATACTATAAAACAGATAAAATTACTGATGGAGGGGACTTGTACTTAATGATTGTTTTCACCTAAGTTAGGGCATATGCATTCAATATGTGGACTAGTATTTACAGTTATGTTGTTCTTTCAATGATCAGAATTTTAACCTCTAACCTTTGTAATCACCTGTATTTACCTTGAGACAGTTCCTCAATGTGTTGGACCATGCCTAGAGTGATTGTCAAACCATGGGTCATGAACTCAATTTGCTAGGAATTGATCAGCTTTTTCTTTTTGCTTTGTCTTGTTTTGCTGCAGGGCACTTGCACTGGCAGAGAGAGAGAGAGAGAGACGTCACAGAGAGAGCACTCCCCCAGAGGTGGGCCATGCTGCAATCCCTTTTCCTGCATTCTCCTCTCAGGATTTTGTGCACACACATACCCATGCCTGAGTGATTTCCAAGCCACTGGGTCTAGGACTCGCCCAGTGCAGTCAAACACATGGGACCCAGCCACCTTAACCTCCATGCCACCTGCTGGCCCAACCACCTTTTCTGTAATGAGTAGAATTAAAAATATCATAATGCATCTGAAATACTGAGGGTAAGTACTGTTTCATGAAACTTTCAGTTTCATTTCACGTAAGTGTGCTTATGAATGGGTACATGTGTTTACAATATATATTCATATTATCTATATATGTATCTAGAGTTAGAGATACAACATGTTCATGCAAATCTATCAACGTGTGTACTGGCTCACAACAGCAAATATACTTCTCATTGGAGATCACAGTAGAAAAATAAATTTGAAAGCCACTGACTTATGAAAAATGAATGTCTAAAGGCTTAGTAAAGGACTATCTAGTATAACTATTGTAACTGTAGTCTAGCAAGTGAAGAAATGGAGGCCTGTACTAAATAAGTGACTTGATTAATGACCTACAGTTAGGTAGTGACAGAACTCGAACTAGAATCCACATTTTTACCCAGAATCTGTCCTATCTCCATCGCAGTTACGTGAAACCAGCTACCTTCCACCACCAATCTCTGACACATTTAAATCCTCAGGTAGTGCAGTCAAAATTAAAATTATGACAAACTTTTCTAGAGGGCAATGGTGTGAAAAATCAAGAACTATATTGTAGGAAATTGTTTAAAAGCTGTATACTGAGCTGCTGTTTCCTTCTCCAACCCTCTAAAATTTAACTTTCTCTCCTTTTTCTTTTCTACAAAACTAGTTGTACCCCTGGATTTTGACTGAGAATTTCCCAGTCTAGACTTAGGAATATATGCCCAAGTTAAAAGGTAATAAGAAAGAAGTGATTTTGAAATCCAGGAGTTTATTAACATAACTTATATTCCAGCTGAATCAGCTTCTGGACACTCCATTTGAAAAATGATGTACTAATTTATATACTCTAACCCCTCCTAAGCACAATCATATATGTCCCAACTCTACTGAAATTTTTTTGTAAAAGAATTATTTTATTTAACTTCATTTATTTATTTATTTTTAATTTGACCAGAAAGGGACAGAGTAAGAGAGAGAGAAACTGAGAAAGCAAGCCGCCCCATCAGCCATGTGGGAGTCCAGCACCCTTAACTGCCATGCCACCTGCTGGCCCCTGGAATGTTTCTTGAGTTCAGAATTATATTTAGCCTCCCAGAAACCGAGTCTGCATAGAGCTGGTTTTCATGATTGTTCTGTTTGGTTCATCACTTTATTTAAAATGTGAAGTGTCCAGAAGACAGAGACCTATTTGGAGACCTGTTTGAAGGCCTAAGAGTCTGCTTTCCTGATTTTGAAACGTACCAAGTCAGTGTGCAGACGACCATGATTTCTTACAGATTTGGCTCTTCCGTTTTATCTATGGTTTGCAAAATACAAATTATGGCAATGACAGCTATTATTATAACAATTTTGGTGGCATTTGTTATCCACCCAATTCTTTCAGTGGTTTGAAATCACCTAAATTTTCTTCACTTACTCTCAAAATTAGAAGGAGTTTGGCCCTTCATCTTTGCGAGGCAAATAAATTTGGTGCCTCTCAAGGAACAAAGACCTCTCATGGTGTAACTACACAAACCATGCCGTATGCACTTTGTGCATTTGGTAAAGACATAAAGATGAGGAGCCAGCAGGTGGCATAGTGGTTAAGGTACTGGACTCCAACATGGTCAACTGCAGTTCAAGTCCTAAACCCAGCAGCTTGAAACTCACTCTGGGCGCATGTGCGTGCATGCCCAAGATCCCAAGAGGAGAATGGAGGAGAAGGGATTGCGGTGTGACTGTACCCCCTGGGGGTGATTTCTCACTTTCTGTCCCTTTGTCTTTCTGGTGGACATGTGTGTTTACTATGAAAAAAAAAAAAAAAAAAAAAAAATCACCTGCTTCCCAGGGCTAGTATCTCATAGGACAATACATTTCCTTTTTTACTTGTCCCCTTATGGACAAATAAACAGCTAATTTAGATACCAGCAGATGCTGTAATGGTTGCGTTGCTGGACTCCCACAGAGCTGACCATAGTTCAAGTCCTGGACCCAAAGGCTTGAAACTGGGCACGTGTGTATATGCTGAAGGTCCCGAAAGGACAATGGAGGAGAAGGGATTGTGGCATGGCCATGATTTCTTGCTTTCTTTTTCTCTTTATCTCTACAGTGAGCTCACATGCCCTATAGCAAAAATTTCTCTTAAAAAGAAAAGCTAACTTAGAGTCTGGATCTGTTGATTACTGCAAGCTAGTTTGTACCTAGTAAACGTATGAACCTATACAAGAACTGAACAAAACTATGACTCAAGTTATTTTTGTTGTTGTTGTTTTTGTGGAGAGGTTTTTTCACTATAGGGCACATGCGCTCGCCAGACAGACAGAGAGAGACACAGAGACAGAAAGCGAGAAATCACCCCCCAGAGGGGATGGTCAGGCCGCAATCCTTTGTCCTCCATTCTCCTCTCGGGATCTTAGGCACGCACGCACACGCGCCCGGTGTGAGTTTTAAGCCACTGGGTCCAGGACACGAACCGCAGTCAACTACGTGGGAGTCCAGCGACATAGCCATTACGCTAACTGCTGGTTCCCGTATGACTCAAGTTTTAGAGCAATCCCATGAGATCCCAAAATAATTGCACTTACACAAGGGAGTCTTCAAAATGTTCATAGAAAATGTGTTATGAGAAAACTATGCACGAATTTCAAAACCTTCTGCCCCAAAATAACCTCACACTTTAAGTCCACTTTCCACAGATTTTTTTTTTTTGAGTTGTCATGTAAAATGGGATCTGCTTGAAATTTTGGTAACAGAGATTTCTGGGTTTGGGGGGTTTATTTATTTATGTTCTAGAGCACCTGGATTAAATAAATACCTTAACAAATACCTTCACCTCATCCCTTCAGGCTCCCAAACCCGTGTGCTGTCTCCTGCAAGAAGTCATTGTGACCTCCCACACTGAGGGACAGCTGTAATTCATATCGCCTGCATGAAGAAGCACACGCCGAGATGTGTGCCTGGTATGCTCACGCTGCCCCCCAAAGAGCAAAGAGCAGAGACCTAGTCCTTCTCACCCCCCCATTCATAACCTCAGGGTACAGCCACTCCAGAGACCACGGCCCCTTCTGGACTGGACCAGAAGCACAGTATCCGGTCGTGCTCAGACCGACGGCTAGCTCTGCCACCCACTAGCTGTAGGACTCAGAGCAACGTTTTAAACAGTTCTGTGTGTCTTCATTTCCTTTGCTGTAACGTAGGGATAAAATAGACTGTAGGATGAAACAGTTAATATTGTGAAATGCATGGAAGAGTAGTGCCTGGGACATGCCAGCTGCTCACAGTGTTAGCTGCTTTCATGAATGTCCGTGGAAACAGTTCTTGTCTGCTTTGTATTCCTTAGTAAAATAAGTATTTAAAGAATCCTAGTGCATTACTTCTTGTATGTTTAAAACGGTCCTCTGGGACCAGCAGGTGGTGTGGTGGTTAAGCACTGGACTTCCGCATGGCCAACGGCAGTTTGATTCCTGGACCTGGCAGCTTGCTTTCTACTTTTCCTCTCTCTGTCTGTCTCTGTTAAGTACATGTGCCCTATAGCAAGTACATAATAATAATAAATAAAATTAAAATAAATCATTCTTTTTAAAAAATTAAATAGTCTTCACTTAATATGCATATGGAAATTTAATTTTACATATTTTATTGCTAGAGGGTGTGTGTCCATCTGAAAATGTAAATAATTAAATTTAAATTATAATAATCATGAATAACATCATCTAAGTTATAGCGATAATTGGCAATTATAAGAGAATAATTGTAAAGCACTGGGCAGATGAAGAAATGAAATCAGACCCATCGATAAGGGAAACGTGTCTCAGTCTGCACATGCACATACATACAAGTAAACCCATGTGGTCACAGTTTATTCATGTGACCCATTACCGTGACATCATTCTCTTCTTTTACTGGCTTCTTCAAACAACGGCCCATCCAGAACAAGTCTTCAACATTATTACTGTTTGCTTCTTCTTCCCAAACTTAGATTTTCGCCATTTACACATTTTATTTTATTTTATTTTCACCCAGATAGTGGAGACTCTGTTGGTCACAGGAACCTCCAAAAGAACAGTCTTTTTCCAGTGCAGCTTCTCCTGGCACGTAGGGGACTGACATGGGACAGCAGGAAGCTCAGAGACCTGAGCCCAAGGCCACGACTGGGTTTTCCAAACCTCCTGAGGTATGAGTCACAGATTTCTAAATGGAGATGAGCAGAATGCGCGAGTCTATTTTGTAAATGAGTATTCTATTCACTCACTTATTTTTTTAAGAATTATTTTATTTTATTCATCATTATATTTTTTAATTTGATGAGAGAGAGAGAGAGGGAAGGTGAGAAAGCAGGCCACCAGGTCTGGGACTTGAACCACGGTAGGCCATGTGGGAATCCAGCACGCCTTAACCACCATATCACCTACCGGCCCTCATTCACTTATTTTATTTATTTGATCAATATGTATCTTTGAGCTCCTGCATTAAATAAGAACTAGGCTTCCAGAAGGACACCAGACAAGCGCCCTATTCCCTATAGATCTTCCATTCTAGAATGGGAGACAGCCAATGTGCAAACCTGAACACATCCAAGGATTCTTTTTCACCACTATGTTTCATCCAACCGAGGAAATCAAACCTGGTTTCTTATTGTTGAAACGATTGCTTGAGACCCAGCCACTGTGGCACAGTGGGAATGCTATTCCCTGCAAGGCTAAAGGCCACATACTCAGTGCACAGGTGGGCGCCCAGAATCCTGAGAAGCTGGAGGACCAGGAGAAGGGAGTCATGGTGTGAGGACACTCTGTCAGGGGCTCTTTTCTCTCTCTCGTGTGTATACGTGCACATGCATTCTTCATCATTAAAAAAATGCTGCTTGAGAAATATTTACCATGACCCTTTCAACACAAATAAGCAAGTCTCCCAGAGTTGAGGTGTCTACATCTCATGCTTGGGCTATCTGGAGTCCTACTGAATCCACAAAGGGCTGCCTGGACCCATGAGATGGTCCTTGTCCTCACACCTTCTTTTTTTTTTTTTTTCTTTTTTTGGAGAGGTTTTTGCTATAGGGCACATGCGCTCGCCAGAAAGACAGAGAGAGACATAGAGACAGAAAACGAGAAGTCACCCCCCAGGGGAGATGGCCACGCCGCAATCCCTTCTCCTCCGTTCTCCTCTTGGGATCTTGGGCACACATGTACACGTGCCCAGTGTGAATTTAAACCACCAGGTCCAGGACTCGAACCGTAATTGACTACATGGGAACTCAGCAACACAGCCATTACGCTAACTGCTGGTCCTCTCACACTTTCATTTTGATGCATGTCCCAACCAGCATCCAAACCACTCTGTCCTGGACCAGCCAGTGGCGTGGTGGTTAAGGCAGCTGGATCCCACATGATTGACTGCACAGTTCGAGTCTTAGAACTGGCAGCTTGAAATGCTGGGTACATGTGCATGTGTGCCCAAAATCCTCAAAGGAGAATGGAGGGGAAGAGATTACAACATAGCCATCCCCCCGCCCCGCCAGGAGGTGTTTTCTCTCTTTCTTCCTCTCTCTCTGTTTCTCTCTCTCTCTTTTTTCTCCCTCTCTCTTCTCTCTCTCTCTCTTTCCAGTTAGTGCATGCACCCTATAGCAAATTTTAAAAAGAAAACACTCTGCCCTCCTTGGCTACCTCTATCCTTCTGCCCATCTCAACAGCACTAGATTAAAACACTAGTACTAAGTATAGCAGAGAAATACTCCCACTTCTGTCTCAGCACAGTAACAGAGAACGGAGGCAGCCAGCAGGAGAAGCCTGTCACCGCCTGTAGGCTGGATGCTGACTCTTCTTGGAGCCACCACTCGGATTCCTAGAGGGGCAGTGATTTCATCTGGGCCCCGGCACGTACCCTGCCTAGCTCTGTCACCAGGACAGCAGGTCCTGCTTCCACAGAGCACTGAGGAGGAACCAGGGCTCACGTAGTATTGCTCCCCAAAACATACCACCTCGTTTTAATCATGAGAGGTCATGTATGACCACCCAGAGAGAGCCTACCAGACACGGACTGGTACTCGTCAAATGTTTCAAGGTCACAAAAGACAAGGGAAGATATGAGAGGGTGTCACAAATTTAAGGACACTAAAGAGACATGACAGCTACATGCAATGCAGAATCCTAGGTTGGATCTGGAACAGAAAAAAGACAGTAGAAACGTCGGTGAGTTAGTCTGCGGTGCAGTTAATAGTATTACGCTCTTAGTTTCTTGGTTTTGATAATTATACTACAGTTATATAAGGTATTAAAGTAGGTGAGACTGAGTGAAGGGTAGACAGGAACTTTCTGCACTATTTTTATAACCTTTCTAGAATTCGAAAATCATTTCATATTAAAGGACTCCTTTGCTTCCCTCCTTTTCATTCTTTGTTGGCTGCTTTAAGGTGAACAATAGGTAGGGCAGTGGTCTTTATTTCTTGGGTGCACAAGTGATCAAAGAGACAAGAGTGAAGGCCAAAGACTGCAGGCCTGCCACCCGCCTGGCCATTAGGGCTGGTGGTCCATGTTGGCCCTGGGCCTGATCCCCCCACCACAGTAACTGTCCAGTGAGACCTGGTGTGACTGGGCATCTCCAAGGGACCTGGAGCTCTGTTTCCGGCACCTTGGGAGGCTCAGGGAGGCCTGTGGGATTAAATTCCCCTCAAAGCCTCTGGACTCACACCCAGCATGAAGACAGCAGGCTCTAGTCTCGGATTATTCCTCTGGACCGGGTTTCTCTCTTCAGGCAGCCACTACGGGAGAAGAGAGAGTAGAGGCGAAGCACCCTTAATACCCTAATTCTTTCAAACGATGATTCAGGTTTTTGTAGCTTCATTAGCATTTGTAGATAAAAATAATTTTAAGTGGCATTATGCTAAGTAATTATTCTTACAAGATGTGAAATTAAACACATTTTACTCAGCATGAAATTATTCCTGCCACGTACTGAGTTTGGTGACAGCTTGAGAGTTTGGACAGTGGGTGTAAGAAGAGAAGAAGAGATCTATGTATTAAAAAAAAAAAA